CCCCAAAACCCCAAAACCCCAAAACCCCAAAACCCCAAAACCCCAAAACCCCTTTAAAAGCTAAAAGTAATGAACAAATTTATAATAAAATGAAGACCTATATCATTTTAGCCCTTTTGGTTTGCAGTGCCTTTACTCTTCCTGAACTTCAGAATGTTGAAGCTGAGTTGCCAACTGAATTACAGGTTGAAACTACTGAGAGTGCTTTGCAATATTACTATAACTTCTTGAAGGGAGTATTCTTAGACAAGAGTTCTTTGATGACTCCTCCATTGTACAAGCAATGCAACTCGGAGTGGGGAAGCAATTATATGGGATCTAAGACTGTATGTCAAGTTGGATGCCTCATGAGTTCAATGTCAATGGCCCTTGCTGGACTTGGAAAAACAATTAATGGACAGACTGTTAACCCAGGAAATTTCAACCAATGGCTCAGAGATCATCATGGATACTCAGGAAACTTGTTTGTCTGGGGAGCAGCTGAATCTCCCTTCAGTTTGAAATATCAAGGACAGAAAGAAGGAGGCAGCCATGCTGTAGATAGCAAGCATATTACTATTCTCAACGTTCACAACGGAGGGCATTGGGTTCTTGCAGTCAGTAGTACAGGAAGCTCCTACCAAGTTCTCGACCCAGGATACCAAACATCAACTTATAAGAACTCTGAGGTTGTTCGTGCAGCCACTTACCAGATCTTATAAATTGGATACTTTTCGAAACTTGAGTAGTTTAAATAGTTTTGAATAAAATCTGAATTGACAAGGATTTTCTTGCGTGAATATAGCTTAAAATATGAAATGTTATTTTACATTGTTTAATCAAAAAGGTAGGACTATTGCAGCTAGGTAAATTAATCTGTAGATTATGGAAATTTTGTTTTTAGTATTTAAAGTAAAGTTAAACCGTATCTAAAGCACTATATAGCATCCTTTAATAATTACGTTGAATAAATTAGCTTCAAAGAATACTTTTCCTCTATTTTTCTGGAATTATTAATATATAAGAACCTAATTGGCCATTTGGAAAAGCCGATTGAAATTTATAACCTATTCTATTCCCAATGAGTAGTTTCAAGTATTATTAGTACCTCTGGGGTTTTGGGGTTTTGGGGTTTTGGGGTTTTGGGGTTTTGGGGTTTTGGGG